TCTCTCTCTCTCTCTCTCTCTCTCTCTCTCTCTCTCTCTCTCTCTCTCTCTCTCTCTCTCTCTTCTTCTCTCTCTCTCTCTCTCTCTCTCTCTCTCTCTCTCTCTCTCTCTCTCTCTCTCTCTCTCTCTCTCTCTCTCTCTCTCTCTCTCTCTCTCTCTCTCTCTCTCTCTCTCTCTCCTCTCTCTCTCTCTCTCGCTCGCTCCCCTGCCGCCGCCACATTACCTTGATCCTGCGTCATGAACTCGCTCGTGACAAGTGGCGGCACCTGGCCACGGGGGCCCGTGGCGAACACGCCGGCGCGATTCCGCCTGTCATCCTCGTAAACTTGGATCTGCACTCGCGTCGTCACGGCGACGACGACAACAAAGAAAGACAAAGTTAGTGCGCACAACGACAACGATAACGAAGACAGCGTTGGCGCGCTAAGAGACTTCTCGTTTACCAAGTTTAATGAGTTTAACGAGTTTAACGATCATAACGAGGCACTCACAGGGCTTGGCATCTGATCGGGGTCGAGGCGGCGCTGTTGCGGCGCGGCCTGCACAGTCTGGCCGGGAAACGAGCCGGGGGCGGGGCCGACGGGAGACTGGGGTCCGTGCGGGCCTCGATTCGGCCCCGGCGGGCCACCAGGGGGCGCCGCGTTCTGCGCACCTGAAGCAGACGGAAAGACGGTAAACTCTCGCGTCCGAGGAATTGTCCACAGACACGTCATCAACGCCGCGGCGACGACACTCACAAGAACTCTCACGTGAAATAAGCATTAAATCAATAGAAATACCCATCTAGATGAATACACATGACTATATATAATATATATATATAGATATATATATCTATATATACGCGTAATGCATAAAAAAACAAACAAAAAAACAAATAATACGTGAATAAAAAAATTTGCGCGCTCATCAGCGTCGCTGCGCCGTGCCTCACCTTGCTGCGGGTGGTAGCCCGGCCCAGCAGGGGGCGCCGGCAGTGGCCCGCCATGCTGCCCCGCGTCCGGCGCCCCGTAGCCGCCCGGCGACGGCGGCGGCCCCCCGTACCCCGGCCTGGGCGGCCCTCCGTACTGCTGCTGCTGCTGCTGCGCGCCCGGAGGCCCAGGGTAGGATCCCGGGGGATGGGCGGCCCCTTGCGGCGGCCCAGGCTGCGACGTGGCCGGTGGCTGCCCATACTGCGACGTGGCCGGTGGCTGCCCATACTGCGACGTGGCCGGTGGCTGCCCATACTGCGACGTGGCCGGTGGCTGCCCATACTGCGACGTGGCCGGTGGCTGCCCATACTGCGACGTGGCCGGTGGCTGCCCATACTGCGACGTGGCTGGTGGCTGCCCATACTGCGACGTGGGTGGTGGCTGCCCGTATTGCGATGCGGGGGGAGGGGCTCCATATTGCGACGTAGGGGGCGGTCCGGGTTTGGGCGCGGCGTATGGGGCGTGCTGCTGCTGCTGCTGCTGTGCGGGTGTGGCGTACTGCGATGACGGCGGAGGCGCGACGCCATACGGAGCTCCACCAGGGGGCGCCGCCGGCTGGCCGTATTGCGGCGGCGCCCCCTGGCTGTTGGGCGTCGGCGCCGACGTCGCGTACTGCGTAGGCGGCGCTCCGTAGCCGCCAGGCGGCGCCACGGCATTGCTCTGGCCATAGTACGACGTCGGCGGCGGGGACCCCGCGCCGCCAGGGGGCGCCGGCGGGTATCCGTATCCGGCGCCGCTCGGCGGCGCGCTGCTCACGTTCATGCGACCCATCTGACTCGTCACCTGAACAGTAAAGCAACGTTAGTTACAGTTACAGAGTTACAGACGCCGCGGCGAACCGTACGGTGCTGCCGCCAGCTGAGCACTACTGTAGCAACAGAAAAAACAGTGATCATAGTTGCAGTTAGTATATAGTATATACTACAGTGGAGCCCCGATTTTACGCGCCCCAATTTAACGTGAATTCGGATAGCACGATGAGTAGTTGGACCCCCTTTTTTGCTCTTATATAGCCACGTATATATACAACCCCGATTTAGCGCGACACCGCTTTTTTCGCGATGAAATTTTATGGACCCCCAACCATCGCGTTATAACGGGGCTACACTGTATATACTATGTACTATACATGTCGTTAGCCAGGCAGGATTATCGCGTAACTACATAACACATGAATCGCCAGGACATTTCCAGGACCATCTTACTATAAATTGGAGATTTTCTGTGTGTGTGTATGTGTTTCCGGCTATACGTTTCCGCACCGCTCGACGGATCCTCTCCAAACTTGGTACGAACATTCTACAGATCATGACACGTTGCATGGGCTATTTTTTTTTTTCAGTTTCATTTTTTTCACATTCCACGTTCAAAAACATTTAAATAGTGGGAAATTTTTGCATGGCAACGTCACAACAACACGAAAACACGACGCCACCTATCGGATCTTATATGTGTTAATATTATTTTTTTAAATATTTTTTTAGTTTTTACCACCTAACGGGCATGGACGGGTATGGCTAGTAGTCCATAATCTAGGAAATTCCTTCCTACCTGCTGCGTTGCGGCGCCGGGCGCCGGTGGCGGTGAGAACGGATAGCCATTGTGCTGGCTGTCCGTGTTCTGCTGCTGATGCTGCTGCTGCTGCGGTGGAGCGGGACTCACGCCGGCGGAGTCTCCGTATGGACCCGACACGGTGGCGCCTCCTGGTGATGGGGGGAAGAATATAGAATATACAGCAATATAGGAATATAAGAAAATAGGAATATAAGAATAGGCCTATAGCAATATATCGGGAAGATAGAGAGAGAGAGAGGGGTGACACGAGAGGGGTGACACGAGCGGGCGTTACGTGGGTGGTGGTGCGGCGATGGGGGTACGTGTGCATGAACGATACACACACGCACGCGAGCACGTGTGTACAGATGCATAAGCACACGTACGTACTAAAGAAACAACCTTCTCGATGATCAAATCGGCAACGATGGCCACTGACTCGCACACAGATGGACATGCACGCACACACACACACACGCGCGCGCACTCACACGCACGCACACTTATAAACACGCATCGACTGCATCAACGTTCAGCACCGTCACATCTCGCGGCGGTTCTTCTACCTTGCTTGGCCGGCGGCGGGCCGCCGGGCTGCCCGTGCATGGCTGCCACTCCGGGTGCCTGCATCCCGTAGCCGGCGTGCGACGACGACGGAGGAGGCGGTGGAGCGCCGTAGCTGTTTGGAGGTGCGGGTTGATACATGACATCAAGATGCGGCAGCTAACCCTGCTGCGGCGGCGGACGCAAAAACGCAAACGAATCTTAGAAGAGAGAGTACGAGAACATCTACCTAAACTAGAGGATGCGATCGCGGACACGCATAAAAATGCAAACTTGCGTAACCTCGTAAGGGATAGTGTTCAAAGTCTAAGGATTATACACCAAATACGGAGCGAGACGACGTTGATCAACTCGACAGAATTTGCGGTTCAAGGATAGAGATGATGTCCAGCACGGTGATAGGATAGGATGATGTTTATTACTGGACATGCTCTCTATCCTTGAGCCGAATTTGCTGACTCGCGAGCGACGTAGTGAGTCGGCAGGGTTGGACGTCTGGGTTATTTGATTTTAAAGTCCATTAGTTTATACAGTACACACGTACTTTCAAATATCAACATGTTCAAAGTTTGCTCTAAAAAATGTGAATGTCTACGGATATTATTATTACTAGTATTAGTATTACTATTACTTAGTAATAATAGTACTAGTAGTTTTGTAAATTGTATTTGTAATGTCACATCGACTATGCTCTGAATCCTTGGTACGCGTGCGTTCGCACATTAAACGTAGCAAGACAGTCTTGCACAATAATTAACGTGAGTGATAACTGATCGAAAATACAAACCTAGGTCCTTGGAAATAACCTCGAATGTTAGATGTTACGAAGTTGTGAAATCAGCTGCCAATGGCAATGCCAGCTGTACAGGGACACCGTGTCAACACTCTAAGGTGGTCGCGCAAACAAGTTCGTTCCGCGCTCATTCAAGATCCATTTAACTCTTCACTCGCAGACGAATCGAAAGTTTAGACCGTTAGCTACCTGTCTGACTGCAGCCGATCGAGTGTCGCGTGATTTAGCACGTAAATAACAACAAAAATCATGTATTATTATGCTAGAATTAGAAATGCCACGTCCGTACTAAATACCCGGATGCATTCGTGGCGACATCTATGGAGACACGTTGTAAATAGAATATTTCAGGACAACACCACTGGGAACCGCCAGTTGTATCTTGTATCTTGTAGAGTCCCTTGTGCGGGTATGGGTGTGTGTGTGTGTGCGTGCGTGCGTGCGTGCGTGCGTGCGTGCGTGCGTGTGTGTGTGTATGTGTGTATATGTGTTTGTGTGAGTGTGTGCGTGCGTGCGTGAGTGTGTGTGTGTGTGTGTGTGTGTGTGTGTGTGTGTTGTGTGTGTGTGTGTGTGTGTGGGGTGATACCTGTATTAGATAATGGACTATAGGATACAGGGACATTAATAAACAACAGCGACTACTGACAAATGCACTCATAAATAACGTTATAATAGGTTCATGCAATATATGCAGTCTCCCTCTTTTTATCTGCTCTCACTCTCCCCCCTCTCCTCTCACTCTCCCCCTCTCTCTCACTCTCCCACTCTCTCTCTCTCACTCTCACTTTCCTCTCCCTCTCTCTTCACTTTCACTCTCTCTCTCTCTCTCTCTCTCTCCACTCATTCTCTGCCTCTCTTTTCTCTCTCTTTTTAAATTCCTCCCTTCTTTTTGTTGCTCTTTCTTTCTCTCTCTTA